CTGTCGACCTTTAATTAAGAACTAAAATTTAATAGTATTAATGCCCCTTTATACGCAAGCTACAGTGTCACATTTAGTTTCTTAAACTTTACCCATTCTGAGATATTGTTTAATATCTCAGAACAGAAAATAAAGAAATTAAACAAATTAGACGCCAACACACACACTCGCGCTAATTTTTCCCCTTTTATTGACTTTTTTGGGGTTTGGGAGGTCTCCAAACATGTAGATTTGCAATGGAAATATGGAGGGTCAAATTTGACATGATTTCAATGCTTTTCCATTGTATATACATAAAAGTTGGGAAGTAAAAAGGAGCCGGAGTCAGCAGATTTTTTGACAACTCCTACTCTGGCTAAAAAACCAAAACTCCACAACTCTGACTCCACAGCCCTGGTTTCACATAAAACTGTAGGAAAGGCTCCTGAATTGTTCATCAGGAGTTTGAAAAAATCCTAGCAGAGAGCAAATTTGAAACTTGGAATTTGACAAACTACACTATGTAAAATATTGCATAAAACATTGCATTATAAAGCATGAAAGATTCAGATCATCCATGTTCTGAAAGATACCAACTATCAAAAGCAGATAGACAGTGCAAGTCTTCCAAGCTGAAATTGAGGATGATGATAGTTTTCTGGACTATATCTCCTTTTTTGGATGAAGCAATTTTTATAAGTTAATCATCACAATTGCCAAATTTATGGCACAATTAACCAGATGAAATGCAGGGATATGAAAGGGATTTGCTAAAAGTTAACATTTAATATGCATTAAGTTGAAATAGAATTATTAGTCCACATTTTTTTTTTTTTAAAAGAAACTGTAAATGCAGAAAATTACCTAGAAGTTATAGACTTTTTTCTGTTATCATTATCATATCATTTAAAACAATGATTTTCCAGCAAGCTAATGCTCTTGCACTACACAAGAACTGTCTGACAATTCTTGGGTTACGTGTGAAGGGCCTAAGAAATGGCCATCTAAATCACCTGACATGATCCCACTGGATTTTTATCCATGGAAGAATGCTAAGGCACAAGCACTAAATCAACAAATATCAAGGAAGTAAGAAAGAGAATCCTTTGCATCTCATGTCACTGATAGGCTACAATTGTATATATAAAACATGGCAGTGGACATGTATAAGCATATGATTAAAAAACCATGGAGCATATAGTAAAATTTAACATTTTAGAAATATTTTAAACTGTATTTCATTAAAAAAAAATAATAAGAAATAAAGAACTTTACAGGCAATTACAATATTTCCATCTTTTGTGCTTACTTGCATGAAAATTTTCCTCTTTTTTTAAATCAGTCAGTTATCTTCATTTTATCTCACAAATGATGAAATCTAGTATAGACAATTTATTCATTTCTCTAAATAATCAAATTAAGCCTAAATCTGGCTAGTAAAGAGGGTAGGAGAAGACACTTTTTTTTTTGCCAAAAATGCTTGCATTTTGAATGCTATACTAGATGTGCAGGAGCATTATCAAGATGAGGAGACAGGTTCAATTACACCACAGTAGGGTCATTTATGATAAATATCCTCACACAATCACCTCAAAACATTGCAATAAAAGTCGGTATTCACTATATAACTGGGAAGTACAAATTTCCAATCACAATTCTCTTATGACTGAAAAAAATTATCATCATGCTTTTTTGTCATGCTCCTGATTTATATTGCCTTCTTGGATCTCAAAGATTGTGGTTCTGCCTGTGACTTAGTTACCTTAATCTTCCTGAAGCATGTTAATGGTCTCTACAGCAATTTCCCAAACTTAATGTAAAATTTAATGTTTGCTCCATGTTCAATTTTCAAGTTCCTTCTTTGATTGCAACAGGATACAAACAGAACATTACAAAATTACATGTAGCAAGCATTCTAATTTGAAAAACTTGCCACCATTTGGTAATTTAACACTCAAATGTTTAAGGCATGAATCCTTGATAGCACAAAGACTACAATAAGTTTCATTATTGCTGAACAACATAAAACAATCCAGTTTCTTTTTCAATGTACCTCATACTACGTCTCTAATGAATTAGCAGGTATAAACTGTACAATATATGTTATCATATTACTTTACCATAAGAAAAAGTTTGGCTTCTTATTCTTATTTGTTTATATACTGGTAAAAAGCTATGTAATATTCTCTGTATCAGGCAACTTAAAGTCTTATGATTTTCATTATTTGAATTTATATAATATATTGTTAAGGTAGCAATTATTTAGATAAATCCAACAGATGATTGTATCCATTTATCCTTTATAAAAAAAAACTTTTTATTGAGATTTTTAGATAAAAATTATGAACAAAGCTGTTGGCTTCGTACTGTCTTATGAATTTGTTTTATTTAAAGGTCTAATCATTTTAATAACAGTGTGTGAAAATATCAAATTGACACATCATCTTAATGTAATGATAATTTAAAGGAAACTAATTATTTTAATAATATAAGTTCATAGTTTTAATTCCCCTCCTTTTTGGTTTATAATATATTTGACAATATTTTATTAATAATGGAACTGTCTATTGAAATTTGAAAAATGTAAGAAAGAGAAATTTACTGGTCCCAGATAAAGATAAAATATAACTCATCAATCTAAAAATTTATATGCTCAGTAATTTTTTAGTTCTTTAATATATTGTGATGAATTAACTACATTGTGAATACAGTGCACTGTATATATTAAAAAATCTTTTGTTTTGGTTTACTACTTGTGTTATGATTGTATTAATGTATGATAAGGTAGTACTATGTGTATGTAAACTGATGAGGTCTTTGCACCCAAAATGCATTCTTACCTAAATTTGATTGTGGTTATTAAGGCTAATTTTTTGTAAAAATCTAGTCTATTTTTCCAGTCTGCCTTGATGTGATAAGCCCTCCAATTTATTAAAATCCTAGCTATTAGGATAACTAATTCAATCTTAATTTGCAATATATTGACATATAAGACAAGATATATAATTTTATAAATTTTTGATAAGCAATTTATATCTACTGTAATTTCCTGAGAGTAACATATAGTGATCTGTGTTTAAAAGCAACCTAAAAGCAGATGCAGATTATACAATAATGTGAACTATCTATCAGTTTTAAATTACAATTATGAACTTTATTCAAAACTTTGTAGGAACTTAGCAAGTGTCTAAAAAATGTGAAAAATCCTTTATGTATGCACATATTCTAATGACATGAATATGATGCACATATTCATGTCATTAGAATTTTTCTGAAACCATCAAAGACCTGTATATGTGTGCCTCATCTCTCCCATTTTCTGTGTGTTAGTCCATGTTTCGATTATTATTATTACCACTAAACACTACTATTAATTTTATCTTAAAGTTTATAAATTTCTGGCAACTGTCTCATTTCTATATAATGACTTTCAAAAAACTTTAGAAACTAACTATTAATTTTAGTATATGTTAGTTCTCTACAAAGAATAAAAGCTAAGCAATCAGCAATCAACCTTAGTTATTAGATATTTGTAAAGTCTATGTGCAACTTTTTTTTTAAGTAAAAATAACAACTTCAACAAAAATTAATATTTTTTACATATGTTTATTGTATATCTCATAGAACAATTATTTCCACCAAAAGCCAAATCAACTAAGTTAGATTTAGACTCAGTCTTGACCTTGAAGCCTCTTGAAACATCAATATACTACAGACAATATAAAATTTTTTTCAATTTAATTTCTTTTTGAGTTTATTTTAACATTTGTTATCTATTTTATTCATGTTATTTAATAAATGAAATATTACGTAAAGAAGCAAAATAATAAAAAAAACATTGTCATTTGGCCTCCATTTTGTAATTTCAGCTTAATGGAGTTTAGATGGTTCCATCTTAAACATTTTTTTTTATTTCACTTATTTTATAATTATATTCATTACATATTTATAAATTAAATTAATATAATATTTATTATTTTATAAGTAAGCAATACAATTATATAATTTGAAATATACTTGTATTGCTTATTTTATGATTATTATTTTGTAGTAAACTGCTAATGTAAATGAAACAAAAGGAACAATAAAAAAGGAATATTTGAGATAATATCTTATAAACTGAAAATCATCTAAGTATGATGTTTTCAATGGCAAATTTGAAAATGTAGTGTATTTGCCAGTGCAGGTTATATGCAGTAATTTAAATTTGGTCGATATAGTCAATTTATGACTCCAGTTATATAATGCAGCAGAATCAGTGAATGTTTATACCATCTTCAAAAACAGTATTACTTTTAAAAATCTTAAATTTGAGATCATTTCACTTATAATTATTATAAACAAATATACAGTATTTTCTTGTTAACAGTGTAAGTGATTTAAAAACAATAAATTATCAGGAAAAATTAAAAAATAATTTTCAACAGAAAAAATTAAAATTATAAAATAAATATTTTAGAAAAATTATGAAAATCCTAGAAAATAATGTAGCAGTAAAAATTTTTTTGTTAAGTTTGATAATAAATATTTTTCATATACAGGGTGTTCCATAAAGATCTAGATACTATATATATGTATAGAAATGAAATTACAAAGTTAATTTAATAGTAATAATAAATATAAAGTAAACATATCATATCTTCTGGTTTGTCAGTTTTTTGTTTTTTTTTTTTCAAATTTGATTTTTCATTTCTCATATGAGTGAAAAACTTTATGAAATTTAAAATGGGCATCATTATAAATAGTCTTTTTAAAATTTAGTTATCTATTTTCTGAGTTCATAAAGATAATTAAACAAAAATTATCTTTTTTTAATAGGTAGCACCATATTAATGTTTAATTATCATAATAATCAGACTATATATATATAATATATATTATTCATATGACGATGATAACTTTAAATTTAAAAATTTTACTTTTTAAATTTCAATATTTAAATGAAATACAAGCCATTTTTTCAGAGTATCTAGATATTTACAGGATATCCTATATTATATCAATATACCTTAAATATTATTAATTATAGTAAATGGGATATTTTTTGATTTGTTTTAAATAGAGTACTGTCCAGCAAAGAAAAATCAAGGGTGCTCAGAAGAGAAAAAGAGCAAAGCAGAGAGAAGGGGAGACAAACCTGACTTGGTACTACCTGTTATGCTGCATAACAACCTCAGAGTTGGTGCATCACCACTGTATTGGTTGATCATGCCTTTGGTAGCAGCCTGTGGTACAGGAATGGTGAGTGTGATAGGTTTATGAAACTTTCGCCTTCTTGGCTCTACTGTTACTATAGGACTGACTGCCACACGATTACCCAAAAGTTTGGCAACAAGTTCAGGTGGTATGGGTTGAGCCTGCAGACAGCAAAGCAAAATATTAACAATGGCCTGTCTGCAAATCAGAATAAAATCTTAAGAATAGTAGAATAATAGAATAAAATAAAATAGAAGAAAAAATAAAAACTCAATTCAATAAATATAAAATGATAGTTAACAGAAAAATGTGAAGTTGTATTGGCCAATTTTTATTACATTTTATGAAATAGAATATGTTATTTCAATATTAAAATAACATTTATATTTTCATCTCTTATTACAAAATTAATTTATATTGATTTAAACTTTCTTAAATAATATATTATGTAAGTCATAAATTTTAAAATTAAATTACTTGAAATTTATAACACAGAAATGAGACAGACAATATGTAAAATTAGTTCAGAAAGCATTTATTAGACAAATGCAAAAATTTTACAGTACAGAAAAGATTTTAAACATCTTTTCTACAATTTTCTAAAGCATACAATGAAAATTTAAATATATAGGTGGCATGAATTTTTTTAATATTACAAAAATACATGGAACAATCAGAATTAATAAAATTATAATAAAAACAATATTCAAATGTTTTCTATAATTTTTGAAAAACTAAATTAATGAAACTTTTTGTATAATAGAAAATGAATTATATTTCAAATTTTAAAAGTTTAAGTACATTTAAAATTATGAATTATTTAAATGCATTTATATCCTAGCTATATGTATATTAATAAAAATAAATTGTTTTATAAATCTCAGAACAATATTGGCACATTAGATTAATTCCATTTTAAAATAATTCTGTCTTATTACTTTTATTTTTAATAAATTTTCATAAATTTTACTTTTTAAATTTTTTTTTT